TTCAAATGATTGTGGACTTTGTTTTTATAAACTCGTCATGTTTTCCCAGAGTTCTGCATACAGGGTCTGGGGAAATGTTGAGGCTGGCAGCGGTTGGTTATCATTCTGCGGCTTCACTGGTAACAACATGCCGGTGTTCATACATATGCAAGACCAGCAGAGGAGAGGCGGATGGTAAACTATTAAAATAACTATAAACAAGTGAAAGCATGACAGTGAAAGCTGGTAAAAACAAGTTCATCATGCCCCTCGTGGGAAAGGCCAAATTACACAAAACAGCCACAAAACATTGGACGAGCAGTTGCCATCGTATTTAGCTTTTTAAAATTCAAAATTTTTATTTGCCATTTATGCATAAACAGACAGTCTAGGCATATAGGAATTCTTGTGCAGGGCTCTCCTGGAGTCCAGTAAAGAGTTTAAAGCCAAAAGAACGAACACCTAGTCTAAATATAAGATCACCCAAGAACACAAAATAGTTAATAAAATTGTAGAAGCAAAAACAAAAAACATGTAAAATGGGGAGTTTCAGATATTGCACATAGTGCAACTGTATATGGTCTTCTACTTAGTAGGGTAATGAGGGGATATTGCACAGGTTTTGCACATTTTGTATTTGCCATCAGTCTTACTGCGGCAGGGTAAGCTGTTGCAAAATCTTGCTCTGTGTGTGATGATACTGTCTGCTCTGCTGTTCCTGAGGTTGTGATTTTGACCCTTAAAATAGATTGTGGCCTTTTGACCCCTGTACACAGGTTGTGTCTGTCTGTAGGTTGTGACCAGTTAAAATAAAAGGTCAACATTTCTTCTCATTTGTTTTACTAGAATACATATGTGTTTAATCTCTCATACTCGTTTTGTTTTCCTGTATTAGCTCATTTCTGGTAGGATATTTCTGACTAGTTAAAGGTGGACTGAACGTCTGTTAGTAGAGGAGTAGTATTTAAACGTTAAAAGAACTGTACGTAGCATGATTTAAGCAAACTACAATGTAATGCCATATGTACCCTGACTAATGCATCATGCTTAAAAAAAAACACACCGTCAGACATCTGGAAAATGTTTGTTTATGGCATTATCCTTGTCAGATATATACAGTCCAGCTCTACAGTACTGTACATACTGAGGGATTCAATTACAAAAAGTCTGAAAGTGTGGAATAAAATGATTCAAGTTACTTAAAGAGAAGTAAAAGGGGACAGACAGATGAGTGGGAGTTAAATTTAACTTTAAATATGTTCCTCCCACACAGACTACAAATGATGTTCACAAAGGCGTCCTTATAGCAGCACACACATCCCCATGCTCTAATAGCAGGTGAAAATAGAGAAATGAGTTCGAGCTTTCCTTACTAGGAGTTCCCTGTGACTTCCACCATGGCAGAGTGCTCTGCTGGCACTCCAGGCAGCCACACAGGCACAAAGAGCCCTTTATATGCCCACGCATGTTCATGCTCTGCTCAGGACCTGCTGCCAGATGTCCAAGTGACTCGAACAACAGCCCGTGAGCATATGAACATGCATGAATGTGTGTAAGTGTGTACATATGCTTCAACCCCGCCTCTACCCCTGTCACCTCTGCAATGGTATGACCCTGACCACCCCCTCAGCCCCATGATGTGTCCAGACGGCTTGTGTGGGAGGAAGGAGGATTTCACTTTGAAATGTGTTGAATCAGCAAGGGGCACAACAGCTGTGTGTGTGTGTGTGTGTGTGTGTGTGTGTGTGCGTGTAAGATATCTAGCTGAACAAAGCTAAGATTTCAAGGCTGCTGGTGCAGCTAGCCTCAGGGTCTGCTGAGGCCAGCTGGTCTCACTCCAGTCAACAGCTCTCTGTTTAGGGTCTGCACTTTCTCTCTCTGAGCCCCTTTGCCCCTCGTGTCACTGAGACAGAAGGCACAGAAGGCAACCACACTCAATACACCTCACCTTCTGCAAGATGGGTGTGTGGTAAAAAAAAAAAAAAAAAAAAAAGGGCAAAATCCCAAAGGGCACGAGCTTTG